CAGATTGTTGCCACAGCTTCACACAGTTATAATGAATATTGCCCACTTGGAGGGGAGGGGTTAAGATTGGGCTTCGTAAATAATTCCTAAAGTAAACATCAGGAGAACCATCAAAACAGTTTCAATGTAATACTTGGTGTATGCCTTCCTCGAAACCATCGAGTTTCTTTAGGCGAAGCATTTGAAGGCAGGGAAAATGGGAATTTTTTAATTAACACATCCACTTTTACTTACTCTAATTTGAATTTCCCATTGGAATACAAGGTGGCCCGCCGCTTCAAAATTGTCCGAACGTAGCAAGAAACATTGTTTGAAGAAATGTTGATAATCTATTTCATCAAATTGCGGAAGTGATATTGAAATAGTGCTTTGTGAACGTATATTTATTTCAAATGGCAGGCGTTTTGATAGATATCATTAGCCATTTAGCTGACTTCGGGCTTCACAGAGGGAAGGTTCATCAAAGTAGCAGAAAGTCGATGTAAAAGAGGCAGACAGACACAAAGGTAGAGAAAAAGGTGAGGTGAGTACTGTGAAAGGGGGCGAATATGGCAACCAGAGGGGTTGTGGTAGTTTAATGTCAGAAGTCAACTGCCGGTTAATAGACTTTTTTGCCGTATGAGAATACGTTCTCCCAGGGTGCACCACGTGGAGGTAAGTCTATCCCACACCCCCCCCCTTGTGAACGTAAATGCAGCGCTCCATTATCACCCACATTAACTTAATTATTCAGTGAGATCTATTATTCCAAAAGCGTGTCAAGGTTAAGTGGGTGATGTCTAGAAAATTCCATAACCCGAAGGATAAATTCGATCTCCAGAATTGTGCCGTTTCAGCAAGTAGAGCATTGACGATATTCGACGTTTTTTAAATGAATTGAGAGAAAGAGAGATGCTTCTGACGTCCTACTTCTTCGCGCTCATGATGTTAATATCTTCTCTAAATAAGCTTCTCAGTAGTCACTAATCGATCGTATTGTGTCATGCGTTTGATCTGTCCTAAACGTTAAAGTTAGGGCAACATTTGGTTCAGTTTATGGTAAAGCAATTCGACCTCTTATTCACTCACTTTTTGATTCTTCTCACACCTACTTCCTTCTTTCTACCTCATTTCCTCAAATTCGTTCCAGATATTCCACATCATTCACCTAATCTCGTAATTTGGGGTGTGCGATAGACTTACCTCCACGTGGTGCACCCTGGGCAACGTATATTCATACGGCAAAAAGTCTATAAAATGGCAGTTGACTTCTCAAACTGCCATCACCTCACTCTATGCTATATTCGAATATTTTCACAGTACTCACCTCACCTTTTTTTCTACCTTGTTTGTCTCTAACATCTTTGAAACACTCTTCTGTCCCCCCCCCCCTCTCAACATTTTTCAATTTGATGTTCCTTCCCCTCTGTGAAGTCTGAAGTCAACTAAAGGGCTAATGATAACCATCAAGACGCCTGCCATTTGATATAAATAATCTCGTAATTTTAAGCTTGGAAAAGCCATCGATTCCTGATTAGAAGTCGACTTGGCCCTTACAAGTAATTCGACAGATCGGTTGGCGTACCACTTTACACTCTTTTCAATTTTCATTTGTATTAAATGTTCCACCAATAAGGAATTTGACGTTTTGGCAATTAATCATTGCTGACCAACCGTCAAATTTTACCTTGACAAAGCGAGTGGTTTTCTCTAATGTTTACTAACTAGACGGCGAGTAAAAATACGAAAGAGAAGATTTAAATATTCAATCCGTTTAAAATTTCAAGGGAAATTTTAGCCTATTTTTGGATTTTTCAAGCAGCTTTCTGTGATGGTGGCAGTAATGCCCAAACGTCACCTTCCATGCACTTGAAGGGACTTCCACACACCCACCTCAACGTGAATAGGCGAGACATCCTGTCATGTACCGCCTATTCGATTGAACTACAGGTCCTCGCCTTTCCTCCTTTCCCGAGGTTTGAGTAGTGTGTGGAGTTCTATTGAAGGCAAGTGAGCGGGTCTAAAATTGAGAATATTCTAAATAGTTGGAATTCATGGAAGATAAGTAACGTTTAATCATTTATTTATTTCAAATAGCAGGCGTTTTGATAGTTATCATCAGCCCTTTAGCTGACTTCGGACTTCACAGGGGGAAGGAACATCAAAGTAACAGAAAGTCGAAGGAAGGGGAACAGAAGAGTGGTTTACAGTTGTAAAAGAGACAGATACAAAGGCGGAGAAAAGGTATGATGATGATTACTGTGGAAGTGGTAGAATATGGCATCCAGTGGGGTTATGGTAGTTTGAAGTCAGAAGTCAACTGCCGGTTTATGGACTTTTTTTGCCGTAAGATGAGTATACGTTGCCCAGGGTGCACCACGTGGAGGTAAGTCTATCGCACACCTCACGTTTAATCATAGAATTTTTACTTCATGCAAACAGTTGCGAAAGCTTTAAGACCTATTTATTTACTTTATTCCTTCATTGTAGAACCTGAGCCAGTCCACTTGCCCTTGTTCTTTGCGCCCCGAGGTCTTCTCGCGAAGAAAAATGGCCTTTTTTCTCCTACTCCTAAAAATCATTCATGCCAATGCAATGATAAATTCTATTTGACTACCAAAATTTACTTTAAAATGTCACTTTGCTACACTAACTCGCTCCCTATCGATTAAATCACATGCAACATTAAAAAAACTGATGTACGCATATGACGCCTCGAGCAGCTGACTTCAATTTCACTTAAATTGGAAGATGGGAAAAAATATGTGGTGACCTTCGTGCCTTCAGGTAGTGGTGACGTCATTGACACCTGGCCTTAACAGGTTAATTTTAGTAGGTCTAGTCAGTACTCCCATTTAAAAAGGGTTGCTTCAGCTAGAATTATGACTTGTGTTCGTTGATTCTCTAGTTTAAATATCAACTTTCAATTGAACCCTGATGATGGGAAGGCATCGTCCATCGAATCAGCAGTCATGTGAGCAAAATCCATCGGTACGTTTTCAGAGTTTGAAATTAACAACAGCAATTGCGGTATCAAAATTTAAATATTCGAGCTGAACCTGATTATCGATGTTGTTGAAAAAGATTTTAAAAAAGGAAAGAATTCGTCAAAAAATCTTGAATTCCAAGATTATAAAGTGTAGAACTTTCGAGATTCAAACTTTAGCCAACTAATATATTTTTTATATCAAATGGCAGGCCTTTAGTTGACTTTGGACTTCACAGAGGGGAAGGAATATCAAACAGAAAAATTCGTGAGGGGGGGACAGAAGGTTGATTCAAAGATGTAAGAGACTGAGGCACGAAGGCAGAGAAAAGGTGAGGTGAGGTGAGTACTGTGAAAGTGGTGAAATATGGCACACAGTGGGGTGATGGTAGTTTGGAGTCAGAAGTCAACTGCCAGTTAATAGACTTTTTTGCCGTATGAGTAGTCAGAAGTCAACTGCCGGTTAATAGACTTTTTTGTGAAGTGAGAAGTCAACTGCCAGTTAATAGACCTTTTTGCGTTGGAGTCAGAAGTCAACTGCCAGTTAATAGACTTTTTTGCCGTATGAGTATACTTTGCCCAGGGTGCACCACGTGGAGGTAAGACTATTGCACACCCCTAATATATAAAATAACACAATTTAAATACACCAAACTAAGGCCTCTCAATTTAATTTGGTAGAAATTCTAATTGAATAGAATTGAATTTAAACATTTATTTAATAAAGTATTAAATATAGTAGTTGGTTAGGCTGAATACTGAAAGATGCATTAAAAGATATTTGACGATTTCCAAGGTCATTAAAGGTAAAAATCTCATTTAGATAAGTCTGAACATCTCTGCAAAGTTTTAAATGATTTCTAACTGGTGAATTTTGAAATCACTTTAATGCCACTCATTTTTGTGTACTTTGTAATCATGAATTAGAAGATATATTTTCATAAAAAATCTCGTGGTTTAAAACCACCACAGTTGAAATAATTAATTAATTAATTTATTTCCTGCTAAATCAGTTTATAAGCGATTGTCCAAGTAGGGGATCACACTCGGTACGAGTTGAAGCCAGATGTTCAATTCAATTTTAGTACCGAGAAGTTCTTTCCCCCTTGGATACAATGCCTCCAAAGAGGAGTCACCTTCCAATTTTAAAAATAAGTGAATTAAATCAAGGCCTTTTCACTCTTTCAAAAAGTATTGTAATAAAATTGAGGCAATCGGCTTCCATGAAGTGTGCACAGAGGTAGAGGAAAACTCCAGCGGCGACGTAATGCAAGCCCTTCATTTCTTGAGTTGGTTCCAATCGAAAAGATATCATTTGCCTAAAGAACAAGTTCTTCCTACTCATTTTATGCAAAGAATATTTGGAGACATCAGTTGTCAAGGCGAAGTAGGGAGAAGGCTATCAAAAATTCACTGATGAGGGGAAATCGATAGAGACCGCGACGGATGTACTTGGCTCCACTGGAGTTCCAGAAAATAGCCCCAATTTCATCCCTAAAAGAGTAAAATATCAGGCTTCAATTTAAGTTTGATTTTAGTAAAGTACAATACCAGGTTTGCTGAATTGCCACACCAGAGTGCCATCCTTAATTCTGTTATTAAATAAAGCCAGTTTCTTCAAAATGTCATAAAACTAAAGCGCGCATTGTTCCCAGCTGTCTATTTTAGACGGAATAGACTCAAATTACATTAATCGAAATGCCCTACCCTTTCTCAACTCATTTACTAACATAACGACTGTTCAATGGCTTGTTCGCATAGTATGTTGAAGAAGCAAGAGCTTTAATCGATATATACAATTAAAGTTATTATGCCTGACAATTTTGCGCATTGTGAACAGTTGTGTAACTTTTTGTCAGGTACTCTAAAACCTCCTGTTCCTACAACTAATTGAACCCCCCCCCCCCAAGGCATTTGGCGAAGTCAATCCAATATCCACCAAACCAGCCGACCTTCTAATCTGTGTCGATCTTTGGGCGACTTTCTACACGCCTATTGTATTCCTCCTGAAAGTGGGCTATTTGCTCTATTTCGAATAGTTTGAAGCCCCCAAAAATAAGAAAGCAAAAATGGCAATCGGCTTGTTGTTTGTTGAAGGCTATAAAAATTAAAACAAATGTCAGGTTTTGTGCTTGCTCCAAAATTGGCGGCTAACTTTATTTACTTTATTAATTAATTTTCACATCTCCTGTTTTTTTTCTTAAATCTGCGGAAGGAAAAGTGTTCCCATCTCTCCCCCCCCCCGCCCCCACTTAATTCCTCGACAAATCAACAATCTTGCATTTTAAGTAGCCAGCACTACATCAATGCTAGCCGATAAATAATGCCTTTACAGCGTGTTATAGATCAAGTCCAGTTTTATAAAGAGGTCTACAACGGTGTCCCCAAAATTGCATTTAAAGAAGTGAATCAAGACGCGAGGCCACCGACAATGGGACAAAGAAGCGTCAGCAGACAATCCCCATATTGTTTATCCATAAATTTGAAGGGGGAGAGGAAGAGGGGTGGGGGTGAGGTCCATTTTATCTCTATTGGGTGGCATTCCCTTCTTAGAAGGTGCGTCGAAAAATGTGAGAATTGTTGTCTCCAACTTAAAAGAAGTAAGTATCAAGCAATTAGCTCTGTCTGAGCAAGGAGGAAATATCAGAAAATGGGTCCACCAATTCAAGGTCAAAGGTGATTTTATAGGGAATGAGGGGGGGGGGAATGTTATTGCAAAATCCTTTGTGCGATGCAGACAATCCTCCCCCCCCCACCACCACCTCCCCTAGCAATTTAATCATTGCATTGAAACGGCGCTAAAAAGGGGCCTACTTTTGCCAACTGGCCAAAACGAGAATCCGCCTTTTTAACAGAACATCCAACGTTTCCGAAGCAATGCCATCAGCTGCCTTTCTCGCTTTCTTTTCCGCATCCCGTTTCGGGAGGAGGAGGAGGAATTAACATTCTTGGCGTATTTGTGTGTGTGTGTGTGTGTTTTATAACCTTGGCATTCTCTTGGCATACACCGCAGAAATTGCTTCGAATTTACGATTTTCCATTAGTATTGCTCTTTATACTAGTATTGCACTGAGCTTGGGCTGAATGCTAACAAATTGGTGTCAATTCTATAATACTTTAAATTGTAAATATAGTTTTCGCACACAATAACAATGTTGAGGTTTCTTTATGATAAAGAAAAGTTAAGATTTTGAATACCATAATTGGCCTTGTCACCTAGAGGAAGGAGGCAAATTAATTGTACTGACAAGATCCACCTTCCTTGTTTAAAAATTGGCAAAATGCACTGAAATCCAGGTACCGCATCAAAATATGACGAAAAGGCTGCCAAATGGACTTTCATGCCTCCACATGTCCCCCGTCAAATCCTGCGAGATTTCGTCTTTCTTGGAACTTTGTTTCCGTGCTGGTGTACATACCCTATTCGGTCATCCCTCTTAACAGGTAAGAAGTTTGTTACGCGGTTCCCAAGACGAAGCAGAATCAAGAATTTTAGTATCATAATAAGGTTAATCTACAGAGACTTGAATAATCGATAACTGAGTGGCTGGGTCGTCAGCACCTAACTTCATTGACTGCTTCTCCACAGGTGGTTGTGTCTCCGCAGATGACAGTAAATTCAATCAATTTTGGTCCTCGCTCTTAATACTTTCGATTTGAGTTATTGGAATTTGAAGGAAAACTTCTTCCTGTTTATGGAATTAGTTCTTAATCCCTTTCCTCTCAAATCCACTCTTCTAAGTGGACTGGATTGCCAACTTAGTTGGTTGAGCTATTTCTTTGGCGATGATCGATAATTTCAAAAAAAAATCAACTGCTCGCATCCCATTTGACGTCTTTGATTACTTTGGAAACCGACCCTTTATTCTTCTTCTTCGCTAGTGAGAGAATGTTTGCCATTGCAGAAAATTGATTTAGAGGAGAACCTTAATAGTTGTTCCCTCACGAAAGCGCTGACGTCACCATTTCTTGTAGATTGAGGGAAGTGCTAATTTTTATTCGTTGTCCGTGTGTCAATCTCGCTCTTTCTTTCACATGCCGATTTTGTTTCCTTATTCGGCAGCCCAACAACTAATTACTCTCACCCCCCCTTCCACCCCACCCCACCTTCCACCCCACCTTCCACCCCTCAACAGCAACGTTTATTTTCGCAAAAGTTTTCCCGATTTTCGGACATCGGCGTCCCTTTCTGGAGATCTTGATCCAAGAAACAGTGGCTCGTTTGTAGAACAAGTTGCAGGTGGCACGACATGAACAGTTGCCAGGTTGGAGATTGAGGTTCCTTATTTGTCTGCGGTTTCGTAATTCCAATTAAGCCTTTCGAAAGACTGACTGAGGGCGCCGCTTGTGACTCCTTGCTTTTAATGTGCAAACAGGTTAATAATTTCAAAACCCATTGCCATTCTCATTGTCTATCGAAAACTGTTTCACTTTTAATTGTGCGAAGCAAGTAGCATTGAATGACAGAAAGTCCAGCAATTGGCGTTGAGGGGGTGGGAATCGATTTGGTGGTGATAACAATGCCAAGGTGTCGATGAGGCTGCCTCCAATCAATTTATGTATTCGGGCTGTAAAAGTTTAACTAAAAAGAGTGGGTATCAGTCCTCTTTGACTGCGCAGTGCTTGTTAGAAGATGTTTCCTTATCACCGGCAATAAATTGACCACTTAAAATGGTCGCAAAGAAAATCTCCTCGAAGTCGCGAGAGTTTTCGTGGTTAATGAAATCAAATCACTGGTAGAAATATCACAAGAAATTCCACATGAATTAATCAATAAACATTGGGCCACTTTGGGGGGGGGGGTGGAGAGAGAGAGAGAGAATAACCTTGGTCCTTAGAAACAAAGACTTTTGTTCTTAAAAACGATGAGAAGCGAAGTATTGGCATCTTCATCCACAGTATGTACCTCTAAAAGTGCCACATGTATAAAACTTTCAGATGCATCAGGTTTATTGCACATACGGGACCTCATTCATGACAATGCGATTAGGGCTGTGATATGCTGACACATGCAGACAATTTCCAACTCTTCGCTCACTTTGGAGGCACATCAATGGTCTTGGCGTCGTAATTATCACCGTGTCACTGGAATCTATGATTAGGTATTCTTCCTTCGCCTTGGAGCCTTCCACTTTTTGCAGAAGGCTTTGGGATGATTCTTTTTTCCGAACCCGGATGCAGATCTAGTTTTTTTGCGAGTGAAAAAAGTCGAGACATTAGCGAGAAGCCGATTTGCTCCATCTCTCCTTCCCTGTGCGTGTGTGTGTTAGAGAAAGGTTGTTCCAAATAGTACATCCAAAAAATGACTTGAAGGAAATACGATATTTCAATTAATTCACTTATTTCGATTTATTTAATTGATGACAACTTAAAATTGGTAGCTATTCGACTTATCAATTTCAGGTCCTATGCAACAATTCATTGCGTCACTATTAGTCATGCGTTAGGGCAATTTTTTGTTTTTTAAAATTTTACAATTCGTGTTTTGTTAAATGATTTTGTGGATAATCGATTACTACTTGTTTCAATAATTTCAAATTCAACCTTACCGAAGTTGCCAGCCCACTGAATCAGTTTAGTCAAATGTTTTTTATCATTGAAAAGTCGATTCGACTCAAATGAGCTGTCTAAAATCCACGTCTTGTACCCTGGGCAACCTACTCTCATACGCCAAAAGGCTATTAACTGGCAGTTGACTTCTGACTTCAAGCTACCATCACCCCACTGTATGTCATATTCGACTACTTCTACAATTCTCACCTCACCTTCTTTTCTACCCTTGTGTCGGTCTCTTTTACACCTTTGAAACACTCTTCTGTTCCCCCCCCTCTCGACTTTTTTTCACTTTGATGTTCCTCCTTCCCATCTGTGAAACCTGAAATCAACTAAAAGGCTAATGATAACTTTCACAACGTCTGCCATTTCATATAAATAAATAAATATAACTTTGAATTCTCAATGCATGAGCTGTTGCTCAATTAGTTCATCAACT